TACCATTTGTTAAGGTTATTTATCATGTTCTAGTTACCATCTGAAGTGCTTTTAAATATTTGCTCATTTCAAACTTTACAGGTTGCCTGTGAGATAGGTATGCCTTCATCTTACACTTCAGAAAACAGTCTCAGATTAACAACTTGCCAAGGTCACCCAGCTAGTAAATGGTAAACTGGAATTCAAACCTGGTCTGTTTGATCTTAAACCCAGTTCCCTTGACTACCTGTATTCTGCCTGTCTTTCCTGAGCTTGGCGGATGGCCAAATTAGACCACCGGACGCTTGAAGTCTGTGATATAGTTTCCCTTGATTTAAGATTCAAAATGTGGTAAACAGAACAACAGTTTCCAAAGATTTCCAGTCCTTATCCCCAGCATCTGTGACTTTGTCACCTTACTTGACATAAAAGAGAGTTTTCAAATGTGGAGTTAAGGATTTTGAGATGGGGAATTTTTTAGATTACTGGGTGGGGCGAATGGATCACAAAGGTCCTTATAAGATGGAAGGGAAAGTAGGAGTGTAAGAGAGGGAAATATGAGGGTGGAAGCAGAGGTCAGAGAAAAAGATCTAAAGATGCTGTTGCTGGTCTTGAAGATGAGAAAGGGCATGGTCAAGGAGTGAAAGCTGGAAAGGCAAGGAACAAATTTTCCTCTAGAGCCTCAAGAGAAACACGGCCCTGCCAATGCCTTAAGGACTTCTGACTTTCAGAACCGTAGAAATAAATTTGTGTGTTTTAGCCACTATATTTTGTGTAACTTGTTACATTAAAACAGGGGTCCTCAAACTTTTTAAACAGGGAGCCAGTTCACTTTCCCTCAGACTGTTGGAGGGCCGTTGGAGAGTGCGCGCACATTCACCACATGCGCACTGTGGCGCGGGTCAGTCGGCTGCTAAGCAGGACAGGCAGCGGTGGCAAAAAACACCGGCGGGCTGGATAAATGTCCTGTGGTGCCGCATGTGGCCCTCGTGGGAGGGCCGTAGTTTGAGGACCCCTGCATTAAAGCTTAGGAACCTTGGATACTGTGGATAGATTAACATGGCCATACATTCTTTGCAGCTGCTCCCAGGGATTGCTGGGAAATTATTTTAGTTCTTGAAATGACACTAGCCTGTCACCTGCTTTGACTGATAAAATGTGGACAGAATTAATCTTGTGTGTTTTGGAGCTTAGGCCTCGGGAGACCTTACAGCTCCGTCCTCTTGCTTTTGGAATGCTGCCACCTCCGTGGGACAAGTCTGAGTAGATACTGGAGTCCAGCCAACCCCACTGCCAGATTGATGTGAAAGAGCCCCAGCTGGGTCGAGGGGGCCTGGCCAGATGAAACAGCCACAAGAGAACCCTCACAAAGCTAGCGACAAACAACTCAGCTGAATCCAGCCCAAATCAAAGCCCCCCAAGAATTACGAGCAAATAAAATGATTATTTTTGATCCGACCAAACTTTGGGTCAGTAATAGATGAATGCATATCAGTACAGGTACTTTTGAAAAAATACAAATTCCTGGACTACACTTCCATCCCACAGATTAATGGCGAAAAATTTCTTGGTGAGGAGCACTGCCAGTCTTTTAATGTCGTGGTGTGTCCATTTTCAACCGTTTCCCCCCCAAGGTGATGAACTGTTATTTCCGATATCACTGTATTTCCTTGGCTTTACTGGTCCAATCCTAAACCACTTGGTCAAGAGTTGACTATAGTGGACAGCCGACAGATGACACAGCAGGCAGCTGAGCATTTAACTTTACGCGACAGCCGTTTTAATATGACTTTCACTAATTTGTTAATTTATCAAAAGTAAAATTGGAAACCATTTAAAATAATGTAATGAAAACATTTGTGTAGCCAGGCGTGGTGGCTCTACGCCTGTAATCCTAGCAACTCTGGGAGGCCGAGGGGGGGATTGCTTGAGGTCGGGAGTGTCGAAACCAGCTGAAGCAGAAAAAGAGCGTACCCCGTCTCTACTATAATAGAAGAGAAAATTAATTGGCCAACTAATATATATAGAAAAAAAAATTAGCCGGGCATGGTAGCGCATGCCTGTAGTCCAGCTACTTGGGAGGACTGAGGAGGAAGGAGGACTTGAGCCCAGGGTTTGAGGTTGCTGTGGATTAGGCCTGAGCTGCATCGGCCACTCACCTCTAGCCTGGGCACACAAGCGAGACTCTGTTCAAAAGAAAAAAAAAACACACCACGAAAAGACGGCGCCTTTCCAGGCCGCCGACCTCCCGCGCCAGCGCCGGGGGTCCCAGGGGCGCCGCGCGGCGCGGCCCGGCCTCTGGCCCCGCCCCCGTGCGTCGGCGCGCAGTTGCGCAGAGGCGTCTCCCGGGGCGTGCCGCCGTTGCCAGGCGACGGGACAGCTCCCACCCCCCCTCCCGCCCGTGCTGCTGCGTCTTCCCCCTTCCCGGCCCGGGCCAGTCGGCGGCGGAGGCGCGCGGAGCTGCAGCGTCTGGCTCGGAGTCCCCCGGGGGAGCGTCGCGCCCGGGAGGCTGCAGTCCCGGCGCAGGGGGACGCGGCCCGCCCGCCCGCCCCTCCAACCGCCGCCCCTCCCCCCGCGGGGGTCCCGAGCTCGCGGATGGGCGGCACGGCTCGCGGGCCCGGGCGGAAGGATGCGGGGCCGCCCGGCGCCGGGCTCCCGCCCCAGCAGCGGAGGTAACGGCGCCGCGGGGTAACGGGCTGGGGGGCGCCCAAGGGAGCGGCGGGCGCGGGCAGGCGAGGCCGGGGGGCGGGGGAGGCCCGGGCTGGAGGTCGAGCAAGCCCCCAGCAGGAGGGACGGGGAAGGGGTGCGGTCCTCTCTCGGGGACCGGCCCGCCCCTCCCCCTCCGCAGCCCGCTGTGGACGCGGGAGCAGAGTCGGGGCAAGCATTTCCACCCCTGGGTTCCCTCTCACGCCTTAGGTCGCGGGTGGGGGAGGTATAGGGTCAGGGACTCTGGAAGCCCGAGACGTCGTGTGGGGTTTTAGCAGACTGGGGGAGCCAGGGAGCAGTGTCTTTGGAAGAAGCCCTGTTGCTCAGGAGCACGTAACCGAGGGCTGAACTTTTGGGGCTTTGCTGAGAGGAGTGCGGTCTGGCTTTGGATGCGTAGGCTTGGGGCTGGGCCGGGCGGGGCTTTCTCTCCGGATCCTATTTTAAGAGATTCCCCACCTTGCATATCGTGTTTTACATCCACATCGAGAGAAGCTCCCCTGCCCCACACCCCGCTTTTATTTGCGCGGAGACTTCCTGTTGTTGATTTCCTTTGGCTGTTAGTAGGCAATCCTGCAGGTCTGGTGTCTGTTTTTTCTTTGTAAATGTGGACACTTGTCCCGGTTTGTTTTATCAAGCTTATGGCAAAGGGTCAGTTATGCCTGGAATATTTGGTTTCTGTCTGCGAAGCAGTTCCTAGTTAAAGATGAGAATGTGAGCATGTTTTTAAAAAGAGAACATTCCAAAAATATTCTTGGTAGGTTTTTTTTTTTTCTTGTTTTTTTTTAATCTTTTGTATTCCTGTAACACATCAATCAAGAAAACTCTAGAAATAATTTAACACAACAGTTTTTAAAGGCGACTAAAATATTCCGGGATATTTTAAAAGACATTAAAAAAAAATTCTTGCCCTGTAACATGGTCACTGTTGTATTCATTGTGTATCATGTAAAATGATACAATGAAATGCTGCTGTGTGTGACTGGGAAACCCATGTTCTTGGTAGCAGATGAAATATATTTTTCAGGGCCATCTTGTGGATTAAATAAATCCCCTCTGTCTTTTGTGTTCTCTTACAGTGGTGTAGCCATAGTGTAGTGTTAAATAACAGAGAAATGATCCTTAATCATTTAGCATTTTGCCTCTGCTATCCGAGGGAAAATGAAGTCAGAAAAGAAATAAATTCAGTACATTTTGTAATTTAGAACATCCTTTTAGTGTTTGCTGTAGTAGTCATTGTGTTTTTCTACAAATTAGGTAGATGTAAGTAGATACGTATGTAAATAAATAAATAGAAGACAGCCCTAAAAAGGCTTTTAATTTCTTGCCTCTAAGACCCAGAAGTGTGTAGACTGGAACCATTCTTTCCATTAACATGTGGAAAACAGGTTCAGAGGGGAAGGTAGCACAGCCAGTGTTAGAGCTGAGATTAAAATCCAGTTCTCTGACTTTGAAAAACAATTAACCTCTGTAATTTTTTTCTATTCTGGTTTTTAGGCTTCACATTCAAACTAGCCCTCATTTTCAAGTAGTAAGTTAAATGAGATCCATTTGATCCTATTTTTTTTAACAACATTCAGAATTTAACATTCAATTATTTTAACTATTTTAAAATACAAACCTAGAAATGCTATCCTTTCTTTAAGAAAAGAAAAAGAGAAGTTGTATTTCCTCTATTCTGACAAATACCCCAGTTGTTTTTATTCAATACTAAAATGCAGTGTAAACATTTATTTCTGTTATTGTTTCTTGTAGCCTTTGTGAAGCACTTAAGACACAAGCTGTTTTGGAAATACAAATTTATGTTCTTCAGCTACTGACAGATTTTATCTATAATCCTTTCAACTAGATTGGGGGATGGTGTCTATGATACCTTCATGATGATAGATGAAACCAAATGCCCACCCTGTTCAAATGTACTCTGCAATCCTTCTGAACCACCTCTACCCAGAAGACTAAATGTAAGTAAAGGAAGTAATTCTTTGCACTCTAATTATCTTGGAAAAGAGGTAGTGCAGGTCCAGTTACAGATCACTGACAATCCAGACTCTTTTGTTTCCTTTTGATTTCTCCTGACTTTGGAATAACAATTTCTGTGGTCCAAATTTAGCTTTTCAGAATGATTTTGATTTGGAGCTCACTGTGTTTTTTTTATTTTCCACTGGGATATATATGTATATATATATTAGCACTAGGAAAAAATAATATGCTACTTTTATGAAGATAATGCATATTTCATAGAGGATGATATATATAGGGTATTACAAAGGCTCCTTATAATAAAAACAAGGAACAGAAAGCTTCCTGGAATTCATAAATCTGCAGGGTTTTTTTCCCTTCAAGATAGAAATGCAGTTTATCTTATCAGTATGCTAAAGAGTAACATTTTATAGGTCATAAATAAAACTTGAACAGTACAGTTTGGTTTTTGATGCATTTAATCATTTCGGGAACTGCAGACACTTAACTTTTGACACCATTTACTTAAGATAATAATGAAATTAATTCTCATTCCCTCAGCATACATAGAGTAGTAGGCAGAGCAGGGGTTTGGACAAGTTCCATGACAAAGAGAAGCTATCCTATGACTTTAAAATTTGCTGCATTTGTCATCTAATGTACAAATTGAATAATTGAATTGGCTAATTTGTAATATTTCTCTTCACACTTTTGTGTTTAAGACCCCAGTTGTTCCTATATGGAAAAATATTACTTGTATTTTTCATAGTCCTTTACAAGTTCTCATCAGTTTTTGCTTATAATCAATGTCTCCACCACTTTCAAGGCTAATAATATACAAAGCTTGGGCTAAAAATATTTGGAAGGCTGGTCACCTTTAATCTCCTTTCTGGAGGGCATTGGGGTTTGTTTCCATTCTTTGCAAGTAAAAACCTCTGAGAACCCCAGAGCCATATACCCCTGTTTTGATCACCAGATTTCTTGACTCCTTGCCGTCAGTCACCACATCCCTATAAGATACTTTTTGCAATTGGGCTTGTATGTTAACATCTGGCTTAAGGTTCATTTTAAGTTTGATTTGGAGTTGGCCAGTGACCTCTAGAAGGTCACTTAAATTATAAGTTTCAGGATTAAAATGAATTTGTGACTGCATGGTGTTCAGAGTAACAGTTTTTGGGAAGCACAAGTTTTTAGATTCTAACTTAATGGTATCTTTGCAAACTTTGCTAAAAAAAAAATATTTTTGCCCTCTTGGTGCCACTATAGTTCATTATGCAGTGACTCCCTCCAAGACCCTGTTGCCCTTTTCACAAAGTCTTTTAGCGTCATTGTTTATTCATAATACTCTTATGTTCTCATTGTAAATATAGATCATCTGCCCATAGGCTTTTATTGGGCTAAGTTTTATGTTGCAGGGATTTAGGGTTGGGAGCTAGAAAAAGGGTGTTTCTGGGTGAGAAGGGTATTCCTTCTGATTTGTCAACGAGATCTTTAAGACTTGATTAATACAGTAGAAGATTCTGTTTGAAACACCATGGACCCTTTAAGTTGGCAGTACATGTGAAGCATTCCTGTGAGATAAAATGTGATAAGTCTGACACTGTCTCTCTAGATATAATTACATGGTTAGCAAAATATTTGGTAGAGCCAATCTTACACATTGCTTGGTTATTGTGATTATTATCCTAGACAGAAATGTATAGTGTGGTTATAACTATTATACTTCAACATGTGTGAACATTGTAGATTCTTCTAGAACAATAGAAGGAAGGTTTTATTTATAGCACAGCAGACTTGATGTATAATTGATTCAGGCCAGTATTTGAGTTATTTACAGGAAAGGAAAGAAAGCTAAGGAGAGAACCCCTCCCTGTGTGGAAAAACTTCTTCCTGGAATTCTCCAGATTTGCTGGAGATAATCTCCATAGTGGACTATACCTGAAATAGTGTATTCTAGTCTAGAAGCCACACTTCAGGAAAGACATAAAGCGCAGTCTGTGTTGAGGATTTGAATGGGATAGCAAGGGAACCTGACACATGTTGGGGGAGGTAAAGATGGTGTAGTGGGGGTGAAAAACCTACAGAAAGATGGTGGGGGCAGGGGAAGGACAGTCCCTTTTAGGTATCTAGAAGACCTTTTTTTAAAAAAAATTTTTAGCCCATTCTTCTGCAAAAAGAACAGAAGACTCTTTGAATTTTGAGTACTTCTTTGTAGTTCCTGAAAGCAAAGTAAGACCAATTTGCAGGGAGAGAGACTTAGGCTTACTTCAGGAAAAACCATGAGTCAGGAAATCCAAGTGGTATCCTTAATCTTATTGTAATAGTTATGTGGAAATTAAATTTCTGTTATTTCTGTTCTTATTAATGTTCTGTACCTGAGACCCTCTCTTTATCACAAACAGAAACGAAGACCTCCAGAGCCAGCGCAGCCTTACGTGTAGGCAGAGTAGGTGAGATTCCCAGGGATGGACCCTGGACCCCAAATCCCTTTCCTACCAGCTGGTCATTGATGACTGCAGTTCCTAGAGAGGCATTCCTTTGGGTTAAGGCATTGTTCTTCTGGTAAAGTTCAAATATCCCTGGAGAGGTAACACGTTAAATTGTATAGCAAGTGGAAAGCAGGTTTTACGTGGGGGAGAAAGTGGGTGAGGTGTTTCCAAGTGTCCTAAGAAAAGGCCTGTTGTGGGGCCCTCCTTGAGTAGAAGGCGTAGTTAGTGCTAGATTCTTGGTGGAGGAAGACCAGACTGGAGATGTGGAGGAAGCCACCAGAGGGGAGATACATGGAATGAGAGAAGGGAAGGGTATATAGGAATTCAAACCTTAATATATTGAGAATTTTGCCTAACTGTAACCAGTGCTTTTAAAATGTTTTGTGGTTTGTGAGGGTCTTTCACATATATTATTAATCATAATTTGATTCACACGTCATCCTGCAACAACAAATAAAGAAACTGGGGCTAAGAAAGGTTAAAGTTACCTGCCTAGGGACCTGCAACTTTTAAGTAGTATAGCGAGAACCCCAACCCAGGCCTTGTAAAGTAGTAAAAGTGTTAAGGAAAACTGGCTAAGATGCATGTAGAGATGTTCATTTTTGTTATGTAAATCTTACTAAAACCAAACAATTATAATTCTTTTCCTAGTTCAGCCAGATTTATTTCCTAATAGACTGTAGTTTCTTAATGCTTGCTTTTTAGCACAGGTGCTAAATAGTGAACATCAAGTATCAAGTGTTCAGGTGAATTTTGAATGGATAGATGGATGGGTGTGGCTCACTTCTGTTTCTTCTTCTCTAAAAACAAGAATAGTTATTTGACTCGGTTACTAATAGGAAAAATATTACATCGTATTTGCATTTTAGCACAGTATTTAGGTTCTGTCTGCAAGTCTATTTATTTTCATCACCAGTTATAGTTCCCTTTTTTGGTATCAGAGAAGCTGTAACTGGTCCACATCTGGCCTCTTTATTTTAAAACTAAATGGCTAACTGTGGCTACAATTGAACTGGCTGCATCATTTTTGTTTAAGATCATATAATACCTCACTTACTGTAAGAACTCTGTAAATATTTTAGTTGATTAAATGACTTCATAAAAGCAACAAGCAGGACTTTTTTTTTTGCATTTTTTTTTCTTTTTTTATTTCGGCATATTATGGGGGTACAGATTTTAAGGTTTCAATAAATGCCCATTTCAAGCAGGACTTTTATAACTAGATTTAGGGGCCTGTCTGAGGTATGCTAACATTTAAAATTTTTTACCCTTTTTTGTTTGTCTTCATTTGTTAATATTTTTTGTTCATTTATTTTTGGTAATACATAAGTACAATTTTTGGTTTGCTTAGGTTATATTAAAATTCTATTTTTAAAGATTTGTCCACTTTATTTTTTAATTTTAATTTTTTTTTAATATGCATTGTAAAGAGGAGTGTTGAGTGGCTTTATTTTTGTTGAAACAGAGTCTCACTCTGTTACCCTGGGTAGAGTGCAATGGCATCATCATAGCTCACTGCAAGCTGTTAACTCCTGGACTTAAGTGATCCTCCTGCTTCAGCTTTCCCAGTAGCTGGTACTGTGCCCACACCATCGCGCCCGTCTAATATTTCTATTTTTTTTTTTTGTAGCAACAGGGTCTCACTCTTGGCTCAGGCTGGTCTCGAACTCCTGACCTCAAGCAATCCTCCCTCCTCAGCCTCCCAAAGTGCTAGGATTACAGGCGTGAGCCAGCACACCCGTCTCAAAGAATCGTGTTTCAATTAAAATAATCTTATTCCAATTCAGAGGAATAAATAGAACTTTCTTCTGTGGGTTACTATTCTGTCCAGGAAAAGGCTAAGCAAAATTGAGTAAAGGGAGTAGTGCTTCTTTATTATGGAGGCTCTTACTGGGGAAGAATTTTATAAGAAGTACCCCCGAGGCCTTGGATTCTCAATGTTATTTATCAGATACTTACAAAATTGGTCCAGATGATCTCAAGAGTTCTCTCTGGCTTAGAACTTTTGTGATGCAGTGCACTGACTTAGAAGGCTGCAATAGTTTATATGGGGACGTGGGAGTAGATGATGAGGACTTGGTTGATTCCAGGCCACAGTCAGCATTCAGCCCTACTAGAGAACGTATAGGTGCCGGGAGAACCTGGTGCTGAGTGTTGCTGATGGGAAGGACTCTGGACTGGGAGTCAGAAGACCTGGGTTCACATCCTGCTTCTGTCATTTCATAGTACCTTATTGTTTGCAGAACACTTTAATACACATTATTTTGATCCTGCTATATGCCCTTAAGATCTGGGAAGATACGTGAAACAATTAGTAAAGAATATATAAGACAGTGTGCATATATAATCAAGTGCCAAATTGTGTGATACAGGCTCTAAAGCTGCAGTTAAGATGTGAGGTTAATTAGCATGGGCTCAGAGTAGTTCTAAGTGGAGGAGAGTACTCAAATTGGGCCTTGAAGGAGTATAGGATTTGAGTGGATTGGGAAGGGGGGGGGGAAGGATTCTCCATACAAGGACATACCTGTAAGAAGGAACCTAGCCTGTTAAGGGAGTGGTAAGATCATATTGTCTGGAACAAAACAAGGCATATGTAGGAGATTGGAGTGGCCATAATACTCAGGGAGACTAAGGATTAATATAAACAAGTCTGTAGAGACTCTTGCTTTTCTTATCCCCCTTTTGGGTCATTTCAACCTTAAAATAAACATGGCTGGACATGTTCAGCCGTTAGTCAGAGGAGGGAAGATCCTTTCATCTTTCTATTGTTTTTAGTGACTTTAACATTATATTCATTTTTCTCGTTCATAGATTACCACTGAGCAGTTAATAAGAGATCATACTCAGCACTGTCTGAATGGAGGTGAGATGAAGGTGGAACAGCTGTTCCAAGAATTTGGCAGCAAACGACTCGATATTCTTACGTCAGATGGTACCAATGACTCTGAAAAATGCTCCCCTACTGTTTCTCAGGTCAAAAGTTCAGATAACTTGTATTCAGTAAAATCCAGCAGTTCATCCAAAGCACCCAAAGTGGTGCCTCTGACTCCAGAACAAGCACTGAAGCAATATAAGCACCACCTCACTGCTTATGAGAAGCTGGAAATTGTCAGTTATCCAGAAATTTACTTTGTGGGTCCAAATGCCAAAAAAAGAAATGGAGTTATTGGTGGACCCAATAACGGGGGATATGATGATGCAGATGGGTCCTATATTCACGTACCTCGAGACCATCTTGCTTATCGATATGAGGTGCTGAAAATTATTGGCAAGGGGAGTTTCGGGCAGGTAGCCCGGGTCTATGATCACAAACTTCGACAGTATGTGGCCCTAAAAATGGTGCGAAATGAGAAGCGTTTCCATCGTCAAGCAGCTGAGGAGATCCGGATTTTGGAGCATCTTAAAAAACAGGATAAAACTGGTAGCATGAACGTTATCCACATGCTGGAAAGTTTCACGTTTCGGAACCACGTTTGCATGGCCTTTGAACTGCTGAGCATAGACCTGTATGAGCTCATCAAAAAAAACAAATTTCAAGGTTTTAGCGTACAGTTAGTACGAAAGTTTGCCCAATCCATCTTGCAATCTTTGGATGCTCTCCACAAAAATAAGATTATTCACTGCGACCTAAAGCCAGAAAACATTCTCCTGAAACACCATGGGCGCAGCGCAACCAAGGTCATTGACTTTGGGTCCAGTTGTTTCGAGTACCAGAAGCTTTACACGTATATCCAGTCTCGATTCTACAGAGCTCCGGAGATCATCCTAGGGAGCCGCTACAGCACACCTATTGACATATGGAGTTTTGGCTGCATCCTTGCAGAACTGTTAACAGGACAGCCTCTCTTCCCTGGAGAGGATGAAGGAGACCAGTTGGCCTGCATGATGGAGCTTTTAGGGATGCCACCACCAAAACTTCTGGAACAATCCAAACGCACCAAGTACTTTATCAACTCCAAGGGCCTACCTCGCTATTGCTCTGTGACTACGCAGGCGGATGGGAGGGTTGTGCTTTTGGGGGGTCGTTCACGCAGGGGTAAAAAGCGGGGTCCCCCAGGCAGCAAAGACTGGGCGACAGCACTGAAAGGGTGTGACGACTACTTGTTTATAGAGTTTTTAAAAAGGTGTCTTCACTGGGACCCCTCTGCCCGTCTGACCCCAGCCCAAGCATTAAGACACCCTTGGATTAGCAAGTCTATGCCCAGATCTCTTACCACTGTAGATAAAGTGCCAGGGAAACGGGTAGTAAATCCCACAAATGCTTTCCAGGGACTGGGTTCCAAGCTGCCGCCAGTTGTTGGAATAGCCAATAAGCTTAAAGCTAACTTAATGTCGGAAACCAATGGCAGTATACCTCTGTGCAGTGTATTGCCAAAACTGATTAGCTAATGGACAGGAATATGCTCAGAGATGCATATTTTTAATTATCTTAACAAACCTGCAAATGGAAAAAAAAAATGCAAGCCCATTGGTGGATATGTTTTTGTTAGACTAGACATTTTTTTAACAAGGCAAAACATTTTTATATGACTGTAAAAGAATTCTTCAAGGGCTAATTACCTAACCAGCTTGTATTGGCCATCTGGAATATACATTAAATGACTTTTTATAGGTCAATACATCTTTGTCGTCAGACGTTACTTCAACATATATATTATTCTATTGGTTTAAATGTCTTTCTCTAAAGATAGAAGGCGTACCAACACGTATACTCTGTTCTTCACTTCTAGTGTCCCTCAACATCTGTTCTGGAGGGGTTGGGTTGTGGCGGTATTTGTGGATGAGAGCCAAGGCTGGGTCTCTTGCCTCAGCAGGCCATTCTCGGCTCATTTTGGGTGAAAGGGCTCACTGCAGAATATGAGGTTGGGGGGTGCACCCGGGAGCTGTTGGTGACCTGGACAATTGGTGTCACTGATTTCTAATGGCTCATTCCTCTTTGCTTCAATTCTCTGATGCAGTGTTTTTATGTTGTTACTGTTTTGCCTCTGATTAGTTTCCTGGGCACTCAAAGCATTTTACAGACCTCTCACCGCTTTACCAAATAACCTTGTAAGGTGCTAATTTTAAAACTGAGACATATGCATCCGTCCTCTTTCCTCTCCCATCCCTCCTCCTCCATCTCCAAGGAAGATAAAGCAGCTTCTTTGCCCCAATTATTCAGAATATTAAAGGTAGAATCAGGCCGGGCGCGGTGGTTCACACCTGTAACCCTAGCACTCTGGGAGGCCGAGGTGGGAGGATCGCTCAAGGTCAGGAGTCCAAACCAGCCTGAGCAAGAGCGAGACCCCGTCTCTACTATAAATAGAAAGAGATTAATTGGCCAGCTAAAAATATATAGAAAAAATTAGCCGGGCTTGGTGGCACATGCCTACAGTCCCAGCTACTTGGGAGGCTGAGGCAGAAGGATTGCTTGAGCCCAGGAGTTTGAGGTTGCTGTGAGCTAGGCTGATGCCACAACATGCTAGCCCAGGCAACAACAAAGTGAAACTCTGTCTCAAAAAAAAAAAAGGTAGAATCAGCACGAAAAGTGTAGTTCCCCAACTTCGTGGTATTCTCTGGACCAGCCTACTTGCTGCATTTTCATGAATTCTACCTATAAAAATGATCACCCTCAGGTAAATGCTTTCCCTCTTCTCTTCAGCTACCTGCCACTGATCATTTTCCCCACTTTCACTTTAATCTTAAGGCTGTTCCCTAGATCTAAGTGAACTTAAGTTATAAGAATAAAACTCTTGTTTGAAAATCCAGAAACTGGTAATAATCCATATTTCCCTTTTATTTTCCCTGATTTTATTCACTTTACCAGCCTTTCTTATTATCTGCTAAGATTTAAAGTTAAACAGTAAGGGCTGGTCATAAAACTAATTGCTAGGCCAAATGTGATACTTAGAAGGGTGAAAAAAGGAGAGACTAAGTTTGTTGCTGCTGTTTTACTTATGTTTTTGCCCATGCCTTCCTCTATTTCCACATTACTCCATAACAAAAGTATGCCCAAGTTCTATCCTAAATGTGTGCTCTTTAGAGCATTTGCTTTCTACAACATAGTTCTTAGAATGATCCAGTTCATTTTTATTCTTTTAGAATTTAATCCGCAAACTCCATGAGATTGGAAGGAAGCTCCTTTAATTTGACAATACAGTAAAAAAGAAGAAAAATATGTGCATGTATCATCTAAGAAACTTTTGCCTAATCCAAAAGTATTCCTGATTGTCATGGCACCAGGCTGTGAAAAATGAGAATGAACAGACCACACTGATAGTAGTAGTATAATTGTCCAGAGTCTAGCCTCAGCCTCCCAAACACAAGGGCCAGATGGCAGAGAAGAACTCAAACTGAGGCATCACCCTTGTTGCAGGAGGAGGTCTTGGTACTTTTGGTGACTGAGAAACTGGATTTTTTATATATATATAAATTTTTAAATATTTCTTTATTTTTTCTCTCTCTTTTTTTATTCCTTTTTTTTTTTTTTCTCTTTTCAGTCCAGGTCTTGGAAAGTCTTATAGAGAAAAACTGGATTATTTAAAACCTTTATTATCTAAGACTTTACTCCTGGTTTACAGAAGGCAATGGTATATTCAGCTCCTTTAGCCCCCTCTAACTCCTACTGAATTCTCTCATTTGCAGGAGAAGTTTAAGAGTCCTCCTGCATTATCTAGGCAGAGCATATGTTGAGGTGGTTTTGCCCCGTTTTTATCAGCATGGAAGACCTGCTCCTTTAGCAAACTGTGTTCAAAGGATTGCCACCCCGGATGCACCTGACAAAAACTTGATTTCAGTGTTCATGTTTTCAGTGGGAGATGGTGACGAGCCAGCCCTGCTTCTGGACTCAGCAGAGAGGAGCCCATGACCGAGGCTGGCACGTGCTCTGATGGTGTGTACTGAACGGACTGTAGCGTTGCTGAAACTGGGTCGAGTGAGAGGACGTAGACGGGTCGTGAACACTGGACAAGTTCTGGACAGCTCTGCGAAGGTGAACGGACGTGTTGCTGCCTCGCTGTGACAGCCTAGAGAGTCACACAGTGTTGTTGGCGTTGGCATGCCTGCCTTCTGTGGGCCGATTCAAGTTTGGGGAGAGTGGGCTGCCTTAAAACACAGTGCTGGTTGTGCAGATGGATTTGCGGAGGTTTATGGATGGATTTCAAGTGTAGGGACAAGTTGTGGTTTTTAGAGGCTGTCACTGTGCTGCCTTTTTTTTGCCACTGTTAAATTTCCACATGGATCCTTGCCCAGCAATCGCAGTGAGTGTGTGAATTGGATCAGAGTTAGTGCAGAGATCCAGACTGTCTCTTACTCAGTTTCTGGATTGTTCTTTAGCCTTTTTTTTTTTTTTTTTTTGAGACAGAGTTTCACTTTGTTGTTGCCTGGGCTAGAATGCCGTGGCGTCAGCCTAGTTCACAGCAACCTCAAACTCCTGGGCTCAAGCGATCCTTCTGCCTCAGCCTCCAGAGTAGCTGGGACTATAGGCATGTGTCACCATGCCCGGCTAATTTTTTCTATATGTTTTTAGTTGGCCAATTAATCTCTTCCTATTTATAGTAGAGACGGGGTCTCACTCTTGCTCAGGCTGGTTTCGAACTCCTAACCTTGAGCGATCCTCCCGCCTGGGCCTCCCAGAGTGCTAGGATTATAGGCGTGAGCCACTGCACCCGGCTCTCTTTAGCCACTTTTGTTCCTCCAGTCACTTGAGCTAAACGGGTCAAGTTGGTTGACTTAACTGATTTCTAAATTGACAAAGTCAACTGAATTTCCATATTGTTAGCAACACAGTGAAAAAGTTCGGTCAGAATTTTCATTTTATTTCATTCTAAATTCATTTTTTTGTTTCAACACAGGAAACTGGCTGATCCAACTAATAACCCACTCATCTCCTCATCTCCTTAGATTCCATCCTACCTTCTGTCCGTATTCATTCATCATGTGCTGTCATGATTTCCTCCTTACGTTAGAATTTAAGCTTCATGTGGGCAGGCCCGTGTCTTTATCATGTTCTGAATTAACAGGTTGCAGTGCCCGCTGATCATGTGCAGATGATGGAAGTGCTTGCCTCCTCTTTTAGGTTGACCCACACAATCAATCAATCTCTAATCTCTCCTTTTTGGGAAAGGGCAATCAGGTAAGGGTTATGTGAGGCCACTTCCTTCTGGTCCAGTGTTGGACACAGTTACCTTGATAATAATGAAAAGAAAAATGCCACCGTAATGGAACTGTGATGTAAGGACTCTGCCTCTGCCCCACAGGGGCTCTAAAAGAGGAGAAAGAGTCTAGCCTGGATCTTCCTACCCAGAGGAAATTGATTTGTGACCATATTAGTGGTTTATTCCCACGTGTTTGTGGGGGTTGGGACAGACAAGTTAGCCGGCTAATGTCATTACATTTTAGTTTTCATGACATTTAATCTGTTAAAAATGGGATTTATTGCATAATCAAAAACAGAGCAAAACAAAAAATCAAATAAAAATCTCAACTATGAAAATGTTTCAATCTGTAGCAGCTGGTGCTGTTGAAATACTTTCTGTTTTGCATAATTAAAGCTAAATATGAAATTTTAGGTAGCAGCTGATAAATGATTCTAAGCTTTCGTGACAGAATGCTCCTATTACAGTGAATCATAGAAAATTTTTTCTCGTTTATTTTTAATTATTTCTTTTACGTCTGTTGTCTGATGTCATCAATACGGAAGTTGGAAAGGTGCCCATGATTGTTGTAGACTGCCTCTGTGTGCTTTTTCTGTTGTGAGAATTAAAAATAAGTACTTATCCTTTGAACCGGGTGACATTGCCAGAACACGTTTTCCTTCATCTCTTCATTCTCACCGGAGATGACCGGTCTGTAGAGTGCTAAGCTCACAACACATAGAGCAATGTCAGATGTCCATGATGTGGAACACCTGGAGTCTGTACAGATAAGGAACGAGAAAAGACCAGGGACTGGCAAATAAAGGAAGAGTTGTCCTCTGCCAGGGAAGGGACCAGACTCCCAGTTTTGTTTTGTTTCTTTCTTTTTTTGAGACAGAGTCTCACTCTGTTGCCCAGGCTGGAGTGAGTGCCATGGCATCAGCCTAGCTCACAGCAACCTCAATCTCCTGGGCTCAAGCGATCCTCCTGCCTCAGCCTCCTGAGTAGCTGGGACTACAGGCATGCGCCACCATGCCTGGCTAATTTTTTCTATATATATTAGTTGGCCAATTAGTTTCTTTCTATTTATGGTAGAGATGGGGTCTCGCTCTTGCTCAGGCTGGTTTTGAACGCCTGACCTCAAGCAATCTGCCAGCCTGGGCCTCCCAGAGTGCTAGGATTACAGGTGTAAGCCACTGCACCCCGCCCACACTCCCAGTTTTAAATAATATATTTTCCAGGCCGGGAGTGGTGGCTCACGCCTCTAATCCTAGCACTCTGGGAGGCCAAAGCAGGAGGATCGATGAAGGTCAGGAGTTCGAAACCAGCCTGAGCAAGAGCAAGACCCAGTCTCTACTAAAAAATAGAAAGGAATTAATTGGCCAACTAAAAACATATAGGAAAAATTAGCCTGGCATGGTGGCACATGCCTGTAGTCCCAGTTACTCAGGAGGCTGAGGCAGGAGGATCGCTTGAGCCCAGGAGTTTGAGGTTGCTGTGAGCT